TTTGCCAGCTTACAAAACACGAAGTTTCTTTTTGGCTGTCAGGGGTGGACAACACAGAGACACAGCAACCTCGATTAGAAGGTTGGGGCTATAATTTGATTTATTCACCAGGTAGAAGAAGTTAATTACAGCTGAATTAAAGTTAAATTAATAGTTTTGCCTTCAATTAACAGTTTTGCTTCAAGCTGTTATTCTGAGTTCTTCTCCTGCTGCTGCTAACTACAAAGGGTAGTGGAAATGCCCTGTCATTTCCTAAGTTGACAATGACATTAATGTTTTGTTATTGATGCTTTGTTTGCTTATGTTTTTTATTATTCATGCTTTTTACTGGACATGAAACTGTTCTGATTTTTCTTCAAGAAGACTGTATGTTTAATTATCTCACTGACTTTGTTGTGAATCCCTTTGAATATATTGTTTATGGGAAGGCCAGGCAGTATACAAATTGATTATGAAAGTTTACTATTATTCTCTGGCTCCTCATGCCCAATCTTGAAAACATGCTCAATTATTCCATGCTGAAAATGAAACATTAATGATTTAACATCACTTTAGGTAAAGGTAAAGGTTCCCCTTGACATTTCCAGTCCAGTCGTGTCTGACTCTAGGGGGCGGTGCTCATCCCGTTTTCAAACCATAGAGCCAGCGCTTGTCTGAAGACAGTTTCCATTGCCATGTGGCCAGCGTGACTAGGGGACGCCGTTTTACCTTCCCACCGAGGTCATACCTATTTATCTACTCGCATTTGCATGCTTTTGAACTGCTAGGTTGGCGAGGAGCTGGGACAAAGCGACGGGAGCTCACTCCGTCGCGTGGATTCAATCTTACGACTGCTAGTCTTTTGACCCTGCAGCACAGGCTTCTGTGGTTTAGCCCAAAGCGCCACCACGTCCCTCCTAACATCATTTTAATCATGGCAATACACTGTGTAGTCTTGGATGCTCATTTGGTTGCTCCTGTCCAGGCTGCCATTACCACACATAGGGAGGCTTCTTGGGAGGGGGGGAAATCTTTGTGAGGTGAGAGCTCTTGATGAGTTCTCAGGTGGCATCCCTTCCCTTCAGCTATGTGGTAGTGAATTCCCATGCTAGGAAAATCCACAAACTTTGCTATGGTAAGTGAATTGTCGGAATCCCCTTAAAACAGCCATCCCTTGTCTGGTGCTTCCTCTCAAGGGTAGAGAGCAAGTCCCATCAACCGCAGAGAGTATGGCTAATGTTGTCTGGGGACAGAATTTCATGACTTGGTATGAAGAAGATAATGCCTATGGAGATTTCTTAAGTTTAATTTCCCCCTAAAATTTACGCCTTTCACATAACTGTGCAACAGGATTTTGGCCTGTAATTCTTGGAATTAGTTAAAATACTCTGAGACGTCCCCTAAAAAGACTGTGGTGGTTCCCCCCCCCCTTGATGTTGAAAAAGCTTAGTGAGCTTAGGTTTTCCAATGTGTGAAAATGCTAAAGGCAAAAAGAATGCTAATAACAGTATCCTTCCCAGCTGTAGGAATTAATTAGGCAAAGACACTGCAGAATTCCTTTGTATTGGATCCTCCAAAGGTTTCTTAAACCTGAATCCTCTACTGAGGCGAATTGCAGTGATGTTAGAAATTCAAGACATGAGTGCTACAGTTTATGATAAATGTCTGTGTAAGTGGGCTGGAGAAACTTTAATTGCCCTGTGGAAATATATTCAAGGATGCTCTCCAGATTCCTGTTTCCTCCTCCACCTTTTGGCCTGAAACATTGCACTGGTGAATGTAATGGGCAAAGAGAGTAGATCTGGGAAAAGAAGGGGTGCAAAGGAGTGCAGAGGAGCATAAAAGATAGGCTGAGCTTGACAAACATTTTTAACAGGAACACCCTCTATGCTAAGGCAAACTCTATTTTCAAATGTACAGATAGCGGCTCTTCTGTTTTAGTGGTTCTCCACGTTTGGCCCTCCAGAATTTCAGCTGCCAGGAATCCAGTCAGCATGCTGAATAATTAGGTATTCCGTGAGCGGACCTCCAAAGTATCTGGAGGGCCAAAGATGGAGAACCTCTGCTCTGTTCGAAAGGGCGCTCTGTTTTTTTAAAATCCCTCAATAAGACCATGAGCAGCAGCAGACTTCCTGTAATACAGATGCCACATTTTTCCTTGATATTTGCAGGTACAGGTAAATGTTGGGTGGACTCTTCACTCGATCTTCCTTTCTCATTGTATTGTCAGTGTTAAGATACGAGCTTTGTAGCCCAACATCTCTGGAGAGCACCACGGTTCGAGAAGACTGCCTGAGGGTGAGAACTAAGTCCATGGTATGATGTGAGAAACATAGCCTCAAGACAGTGTGAGGCTATTTTGGCAATGAATGTGCATATTTTTAAAAAGGCAAATATCAGCTGTACAGGTGTGGAAGTGAGTGGTAGAATGGGCAGGACGGCAGCAAGTGGGGAAAGAGGACTTAATCCTTCTTTTTTCCATTTGTGGTCCCAATTAAAATTGCTCCCTTGAAGCTGCTATTGACTTTAGGCGGGGATCCTAAAGTTTTGAATTGATTTTGAATCTGAGTATGTAGTTTTGTTGGAAATAATTTTGTTGAAAGCGTTGCAGAAAACTGCAATGCCTATTTCAAGTAAGAACACAATGAAAATGTTTTTTTTTAAAAAATAAATCTGTATCATAGGACAAATCAGTGATTTAGGTATTTGCCTGTGGAGCCAGAGGTTGGGAGGTCGATTCTCCACGTTGCCTCCTGAGAGTAGAGGCAGCCAGTGTGGCCTTGGGCAAGCTGCACAATCTGACAGTACCCCTAAAAGAAGGGGATGTAAACCACTTCTCCACCTGGAAAGTCCTCAAAAAGGCTCACCATCAGTCAGAACTGACTTGACAGCACATGATGATGATGATGATGATGATGATGATGATGATGATGATGATGATGATGATGATGATGATGATGATGATGATTACACAGCTTAGGGGAGAAAAAAGCTTTTTTTTAAAACTGTAACAGTTGGCTCACCACTCCTGGGATTAGGCAGGATGACAAGCCTCCTTGCCAGGTCGAAGAGTGGCTCGCCAATTGCGAGCTCCAGAGTGATAGGAAGGATCACGGAGCCAACAGCAGCCGCGGAATTGTGAGTGGGCAGTCTGGCCCTATGGGGCTGGACCCTCGTTATCGCCACCTGTGTGAGAGTATTCACATACAAATACAAATACCCCCCATCTCTAGTTTTCAATATTCTTGAACTTTTCTGCATAGAAGCAATACAGATGAATAAAGCTGGTTGAAATAAGCAGATACTGCCTAGAATCATTCCAGCAGTGAAACTACTTATTTTACCTTGATACCTAGTTGACCCTTTATATGACTGGAAATAGATATCTGTTTTCCTACTGGGATTAACCCTTTTCCAGGGGTAAATGCCCACGGTGGGAACACAGGTGTCTCATTTTTCCTAGACATCTAGAAAGGTCTATAGAGCTCTTAGGAAGGTGTTCAGGCATCTGACTTCTGACAAACATGCACAGAATCATGGCAGGGGCACCTTACATGTGTACAGTACCAGGAAAGGAATGGAGGAAATGCGATACTTTGGCTTCTGTTATAAACAAGGCCTCAGCCAATTAAAAAAAAACTTTTCAAAGCTCTATGAAACCAGCTCTACAGGGCCAGCCCTAAGATTAGGTAACGTGGGACCATTCTTTCATGTGGCAGATACTGGAGGTATCAACAGGATGTTGAAAGAGAGTTGTGTGCCCCGTAACCTGCTTTGTGCCACCTGAGTGAGCATGGTGGCTACCCGTGCAGTGAATGATTCTGTCCCATTGGAAAAAAAATTCAGCTGCTCATCCATTTGACTTTTGTACACAGAATGAGAGTGACACTACAGTATTTTGTTCTCCTCCAGCAGCAAAATATCATGGGCTAATCTTCAGGCTTTATCCTACTACTTTTAGTCTGCAACAAGCGTCTAGACATGCATGGCCTAGGTTCTTTAGCAAGTTTACTAATTTTATGCTGGCATACTTCACAGAACCATCAAATAAAAGAGCATCACTATTCCTGGATTAGACTTCTCTGGACTACAGTTACAGAACTGTGTGAAGGAAAATGTATACTCTTTATGCACACAGTCCTAGTGTCTTAAGAAATAAGCTAAGGAAGAACTCTCCCCCTCCCCCCCATTATTGAGAGAGTTATAGGTGGAATTTATACAGGGAGTACCACATAAACATGAAAATTCCTACCTTTCTCCAGGGTCATATGTGCTCTAGGCTTTGCATATGTGGGATGGATTCCTTCTGCCCTATTTCAGCTGGCTTTCTAACATTGTCTACCCTAACATTGTACCTTACAACTCCCATTGCCATGGGGGAAGGTGGCAGTGGTGGGTTGTAGACCAGCAAATTTGGAGGCCATCAGGCTGGAGAAGGCTGTGATGTTGCCCACTCCTTTGAAAGAGTTAAGTCTAGCAGTGGGGGGGGGGGAATGAACCTGTGGTTACAATTTATTTCGCCTTCTGATAAAGTTCCTCGCATGCAGCCATTAAGGAAATGAAGTAACTCTGGAGTGGGAGTTTAAAAGTCCTCAGAGGGATTAGGAGGCCGGTTAAGAGATTGGAAGGAAACGGTGGGAATAAATGGCCCAGCCTCCTCCTCAGATAGGAAGGAGACTCGTAATGAGCTGAACTGCCTATGGGATCAGATTGAGGAATGCTGATGTTCAGAAACACTAATAACCTGTTCGACTGAATGAGTAGTGAGCTGGCAAATTTTTGCTGATGATGTGAAATTATCTAGGTTGCTTTAAATGGAGGAGATTTTTGAGGAAATCCCAAGAGGAACTAATTTACACAACTAGGCAACTTTGACAACAGGAGGGAAAGGAACTCTTGGCGACAGGAAATGCATGCTGGTACTGTATCTCGGCAGGACTCACAATTATTTTCCCAGGAGGGGAGAGAAGATATTGTCAACTGTGTGCGCATAGCAAGGCCAAGCCAAAACCATTTCATCTGGTTTGGAGGTTGCTGATGAAAAACTCTTCCTATTATTTAACCCCTGATTGAACAGAATGTTTTTGGAGGCTGTATAGAAGAAGGATGCTAGAAAAGCAATTTGGTCCCTGCTAATCCATTTCGTTTTTGGCAACCCCTGCAGCCCCAGTTTGTCAGGATATGGGCCTCTGAGACCAAAAGACCATGACAGGGTATCGAGCTCATAGGATTACTGGAGGTGAGAAGACAGAGCATTTATAATGAATCAATTTGCCATAGCAGCATGACATTGGAAAGACAAAAACAATCCCATACAGAAAAAAGTGGAATACACAATCCACACATATCTATATATAGATCGGCCAAAGAAGTACATGTAAATAATAATAGCTTTCACTGAAATTGTAGAAACATTATTGATTTTTAGAATAATCATTACCTGTCCTACCAGGTGATATATTCAGGCTTTATCAGTACCCTACTGTGATTATCCTCTTCTTGGATACACATCTTGAAGGGGTGAGAGGATTCGAGTGTGTCAGAGAAGCCAAGAGCAATGTCCTGTTTCCCGCAAGTCCTTCTGTCTTTCCTTCTTGCCATAAAGGACAGGAAAGCTGGAATTGCTGCATCATGGATTTGATGTGGTAGCGTGAGGAACTGTCCACCTGGAGACACTTTTAGTCTGAGTAACTTACAGCCAAAGGGGACCCAGTTGAGTGGCTGACCTCTTCTTCGTTCCAGGGGCTTTTTGTCTATCCAGTCTGTAGCCGGCACAAGGTTGACTCAGCCTTCTATCCTTCCGAGGTCGGTAAAATTAGTACCCAGCTTGCTGGGGGGGGGGCAAGGTGTAGCCTGCGTCATTAACTTGTAAACCGCCCAGAGAGTGCTTGAAACACTATGGGGCGGTATATAAACAGCACGCTTTGCTTTGCTTTTGCTTTTAAACTTGGCCAGCATTCAGATCAAAATGCCAAACAGTTGCATTGCTGCAAATTCATATTCAGATGGCAAAGTGTCTGCTAATTCTGACAGGATGCACATGAAAGGGGCTGGAGATACTTAATGTAATGCCAGAGAAGATCATGAAACAAATTTTGGCTTGATATTTGTTGAATGAGCTATTTCTTCCCCTTCTTAAATCCCCCTGTAGTATTTTCTGGACTGTCTTCAGAAGACTGCACTATTTGGTCGTTCTTCTCTTGGCCCAATTTTGGAAATGTTACAAAGGCTTAAAAAGAAAGTCTATATGGAGTTAGCTCACTTAGGTAAAAGCAGAAATCCAAGAACGAAATCCACCTGCTAGTAGCAGCTGGATTAGACCCACTGCAAGAACTCGACCTGTTAAATCAAATTTATGAAAATCCTATTGAGTCAGTTGTTTGGATTTGCCTCCTCCCAGTTCTTAAGCAAGGCTACAAATTGTCTTGCAACATTAGTTTTGAAATCATCTGAATGGAAAAATGAAGCCTGTCTACTTGTACATTTCCCTGCCTGTCCATACGACTCCATTGGCTGTGCACCTTAACAGGAACATGGCATTCAGAGTTCAATGCAATACACCAATTCAGTTTTATTACTGGGAAGCAGTTGGCTGCAAATAATTAGCAGGTTGTGTTGTGATTGGTGTGGCGTAGCTTTGAGCAGTCACTGCAATACAAAAACTTGTAATTATACATTAAGATCAAATGTCATTTGCTTATCATCTCACAAGCAGATAGCACATCTCTCTGCTATACATTGCTAATGTTGGAACAATTCACAAGCCCAGGCCACCCTCGCAATCACCATCTTGACAGTGTTACTGGAGCTGAGGAAGGCATGCTGTTTTCCATTTTCAGTTTTTGAGCAGGGATGACACATCAGAACCTGAAGGATGTTTTCCCCTGATGCTCAAATTTATGAAGTCTCTCTCTGCAGATGTTTTTCCTCTCTCACCTCTATCTCTGGAGCATGCTTAATATTTATTTGTTTATTATTCATTTACTTATTCATTGTAACCACTATGCAATTCCTTGCTTTCTGTGGTTTTCTGTTTTTTTTATGAATTTACGGTTTGTGTTGTGTGCCTTGCTTGCACATACTCCTCCACTGACTAAATAGTATTTAAGCAGTATTTTTCATGTGTCTGAAATATGCATATTTTCTATCCACACATTTCAAATGTACCTATTCCCCCCCTCACCCTGATGCATCTGCAGTCAACCTCTGGGGCAGAAAAATTACACCCATCCTGTTGGTCACTCACAGGAAATGTAGACTGTAAGAAGCCTGTCAAATCTTAGATTCTGAAACTGGATTCCTCACACATGAGGCAGCCTCACTTTCTCCCATCCATTCTTTTCCAGGTTCTATGGCCCATTTTCCTTCCCTGCTTGCTATAAGTAAAGAACAGGAAGACTGAAAAAAGAGAGTAGGTGACCGTGCAGGCTAAAATAAAAGGAAGGTAGATAATTGTGGCACAATCTCCTTTTCAAACATATCTAGGAAATTTAAAGAAAATCGTCACATTATTTAAGCTTCCGTCTGGCAAATCTAAGATTCTATGGGTGCTGTTAATACAATGAACCCACATCTTCAAGACTCTCAAAATATTTTGCCTACACTTGAGACACGTCTTCCCCAAAAAGAAACAGCTGCCACACAGTACAGTTTCACTTTATTGAGCTGTGTTTTCATGATTTTTTTACAAAAAGGCTGTTGGGTACAAATCATTTATTCAAACAGGCTGTCTAGGTGTTTGGACTAAACAGGCCTTCTTGAGAAACATATGGATACTTAACTCTGTTTTTTTCTCATTCTATGCTGTCAAGTAGCCCTTGACCTATGGTGACCCAATGAAAGATTGATCTCCAAAATGCCTTGTCCTCAACAGCCCTTCTCAGCTCCTCTAAACTCAAGCCTGTGCCTTCCTTTAGGGAGTCAGTCCATCTTATACTCGGTCTTCCTCTTTTCCTGTTGCCTTCAACCTTTCCTTGTTATTGTTGTTGTTTTCAGAGAATCCTGCTTCTCATGATGTGCCCAAAGTAGGACAGCTTCAGTTTCAATATTCTTTCCTCCAGAGCTAGTTCAGGCTCAATTGATCTAGGAGTGTCTGTCATCTGAAGATGCCGGCCACAGAGACTGGCGAAACGTTAGGAAGAACAATCTTCAGAACACGGCCAAAGAGCCCAAAAAACCCACAACAACCAAACGATCTAGGACTCACTTGTTTGTTTTTTGGCCATCTAGCGTATCCATAAAGCTCTCCTCCAAAATCAGTTGTTTTTTTCCCCCTTTCAACGTTCTTCACTGTCCAGCTTCAACCCCCGTACATGCTGATTGGAAATACTGTACAAGTGTGTGGATGATGCTGGTCTTGGTCCCCCTTGGACACATTCTTACATTTGATGATCTTTTCTAATTCCTTCATTGCTGCCCTTCCTAGACTCAGTCTTTCTCTGGTTTCTTGACTGCAATCTCCCTAAGCAGAGGTACAGAAAGCAAGCAGCATTCATGAGCTACTATGAATCTTCTCAGTTCTTAGGCAGCCCTGCCAATTAAGGGTCTTATTACAGCTGTGGGCCTCTTTGCATTTAGTATGAGCAGTAGCACCTCTCATGATAGTTTCTTGTGCCTGTTTTCCTTCCTGTAATAAAAGGGGCTCAGCTTTCTCTTTTACTGTGTTCCTGCTTATTGCACGGAAGTGCAATCGTGTGAGCTGGGAAGCCCTTTCAAATCACACCCTTCTCAGGAATTCATTAAGTACCTTCACTTTCATTCTCTCCCCTTCAGCCTCCCCAGAAAGCCATCCCCATATATTTTACTCCCTGAGCAAATAGCGTCCTAGCCAGTCCAGACAGACACATAGTAGCTTTGTCCAGCCATGTTATTATGGCACCAAAGGCAAAAAATCCCCAAAGCACTTCTTTTTTTCCCCTTGGTAGAAATATGTAACAATAATAAATTAAATAATTAAACACTGCTGCCTTTTGACGAGGCCCAGAATCAGCGAGTCTTGTGGTAGAGTCAGGCCTGCATTCCCAGAAGCAGTAGATTCATGGTAGTGACAAACTGACTATGGTTCTTTCCAGAATTACTGAGACTGTATCTGTGAAAAACATATTAATTCATACATAATGGGTATAAAATCATATTTTTATTAGCTATGCTAGGTATATTATTCTTAGCTATGTTTATTGTTTAATAAAAACAATAGCAGGTTCAGTTCAGTGTCTCTTCTGAGACAACATGGATTTCTTCCCAGCTGTAGAAAGGCCTGTGGCACTCCTCTTTCCCTGTGGAGAAAGAGGAGTGCCCTGCTTCCAGGCAAGCCAACAGAGGCCTCCTGGAGAGTCAGGTAAAGGAGATCCAAAACCTGAGTCCAAGAGAAGTCTGAAGCTGAGCCAGTCCAACAATCACTGGAACTGGCAGTTCAACAAGAAACACAAAACAAAAGATGTTGTGGGTACCGTAAAGACTAACTGCTGTATTTCAGCAGGAAACACAAAACAGGCTAAAGTCAGTCCACAACAAAGATTAAGCAACACAGATAGCAAGACCAGCCAGAAGAGACCTTGGCTTCAGGAATACACCTACCCAGTCTGATCTTAAGGTATCTACATTTCTGGAGCCCCACCCAGAGCTCATATGCAGACATTTTACACAGCTGACAAAGGAACTCAGCTGTAGGGCCTGGGTCTCTCTAGGAGCAAAAAAATTTCCCTCAATGTGGGGGGTTTCCTACTCCTGAGGAGTCTTCTTCTCCAACACAGTTTCCCTGTAGCCAAGCATTTCACCGGGAGGCTTCAAGGCAGGCTTATTCCTTCATCTTGTTATGTCCCTGGGGAACAGGAGGCTATCGAGCGTCCACCTCTGATTCAGGCACAAAGTTGTCTTCTTCTGAAGGGTTTAGCCTCTTGGTTCCCTTCCCCCCCCCCAAGAGCCCAGGCGTGTGGAATCTAGCCTTTCCTCCCCATGTCTGGTTCTAGTTCATCCTTTTGAGGACTCATCTAGCTCAGCTCTGATGGGAGCACGGTGATTTTTGCCCATTTCCCTGCCTCCCACAACCCTTCGTGCCACTCCCCACACTGGTTTGGAAAAGTCTCCTGAGTTGCCTTCCCGAGCAGCATTTCAGAGAGCACTAAGGAGCTGGAGCAGAGTTCAGCTCAAGGGAGTTCAGCCAGCATCTTTCAAAGCACCCACATGCAAAAACGATGTCTGATTCATTTCGTACAAATTATTTCTCCTGCTGGTTTCCCACTAATCAAGGACAAAAGCATTTGCTCCCTGCATGTATGGGAATATCCAAACTGCAGCGCTAAATGGGAAAAATAAGGCATAATACGGAACTTCCCCACAGTTTAAAAAAAATCTGATTTTTTTACAGAAGACTTCCACTGGCTGTGTGCAAACTCAAGCATCATGCTATTTTTAGGGATTAAGTCAAGGTATTTGGACATGCTGTCTTGGTGTACGTAATTAGACATTCTAAATTCTTCCTGCATTCTCTCTTGCATGAAGGTAGAGCTGGGGCTCCAATTGATTAACCTTGACTGTGGACTGTAAACATAGTTCCTTTTTTCATCTATTTAGTCAATGTTGCATTGAAAACTGAGATAGATAAACCATTCTCAGCCTTTTCCTCTTTCTTCTCCCATCTCTGGTGCTAGCAGTGAATGGGGAGCACTACAGAGTGCATTAAAAAGGCAAGTGCAGTAAAAAAATATTGGTTGCCGTGATTAGGGAGAAAGAGCACCCTGTGCAGAGTATATAGTGTGCAATTTAGGATCAGTGTGCATTTTTCACTAAAGTAAGCATGCAAAGCATCAGTCTGAATTGGGACCATTATAAATGGATGGATAAGAATGTAAACTTTTCCCCTACCTGTTTTAACATCAGAATTACTTCCTATGCAGAGACAAAAGGGATCTGTTGGTTTGAGCAAGGTTGGAGATAAGTGGGTTCGCCTACTCCAGTGTTTGGGAAGTTTGCATTTTGAGCCAACAGAAGAATTCTGAGAATTATCAGAAAGCAATTTTTATAAGATCTGATTCCGAACCAATAAAAGAAGGATAAAGCACAACTGTGGAAATAGGCAAACATATTTCAGATGTCCTTAGACTAAAACTCCCAGAAGGCTTCACCACTAGCTGAGCTGGCCAGGATTTCTGGAAGCTGCAGTCCAAGAACATCTGGGGACCCAAGGTTGGGAACCACTGCTTTACAGAGAGGAAAGGGATTGGGGAGAAGCTGTGTCCAGGAATGTAATAGACGTCGTATGCTTAATTAATTTCAGGATTCTATTGGTATTCATATATAAAGATTGCATAGCTTGCTGTGGCTGACTGACAAGATACCAGGATGCATCACGAATCCTCACTGAATCAATAGGCCCATTCTAGGGTTGTTTACTACTCTAAGGAATTGGATTTCAAACAATATGGCTTGATAGCTCTTTTCTTTTCCAAAGAAAGGCAGGAGATTCAGGATGGAAAGGGAGGTTTTAAAGAAGGGGGACAAGACAGGACATTAAGACCAACAGCACCTGCCATAGATTTATTTCTATTTATACCATTAAAGTATAAGACTGGGAAAAGGGGAGCAGAGGATTAGAATCCAAGCTCTTTGGAAGAGCTGTCAGCTCTCTGATAGTGCCTGTTTAACCAGACTAACCCTGGATTACACAACTTGGCTCTTGTGTACCCAACGCTGGCATGAACTTCATGCTACCATATAATTATGTGACTGTCATGTTCAGCCTAATGTTTGGTTGGTACAGACATGATTTGCAAGAGGAGAAGGGAGAATAGCTTTTGCAAATACGAATTCAATGTAAGTCATCCATGTGCTCCATCATCATTGAAACCAATTTTCTCACCTCAAAAAAATCACAGGGGCTGCTGAAAATACCTCTGATGGTTGAGCAACCCCAGGTCACAAAACAAAACAGAACAAACCCCTGCTATGAACACAGACTCGTAGAATTATGGCGACGGAAAAGACACCTAGGGTAAGCAAGTCCAATCTCCTGCCAAAGCAAGAAATCCATAGCTAAAGTAACTTGGCTGGTGACCATCTAACTTCTATTGAAAAATCTCTAAAGGAGGTGAATCCACCATCTTCTGAGGCAGTCCATTCCATTATCAGATAGCTCTTACTTTCAGGAAGTTCTTGTTATTTCAATCCATTTGTTCTGGTCCTACCCTCTAGAGCCAGAAGACAACTTTGCTCCATCCTCTGTGTGTGTGGCAGCCCTTCAAATATCTGAAGGCAGCTATTGTATGACCCCTCTGTCTTTGCTCCTCCGATCTAAATATGCCTAAACTCCCTCAACAAGAGCTTGATTTCCAGAACTTTTACCATTTTGGCCAGCATCTTCTGGACACATTACATCATGTCAATATCCTTCTGAAACGGTGGGGTGTGAAAGTATTCCAACTGAAGTCTAGCTAAAGCAGAATAGAGTGACACTGTTGACTTCCCTTGGTCTGCACACTAGTGTTGAGATAGTTTAATGAGCCTTATATTTCCCAAGACCATCATGTACTGTTGACTCATCTTTAGCTTATCATCAGCTAAGATCCTTTTCAGCCATTATCCTTTTCATCTTCCATGAGCATAATAGAAAGCATGTATGTTCATGTGACCATCTTTGTATTTTTTGATTTTGTTAAAAGGTCAGTTGTCTATGTAGTCCACTCCCAGTGAAGTGCCATCCTGTTTCATACGGATCTCAGTAAAAATGTTTGCTTGCTTGCTTGCTTGCTTGCTTGCTTGCTTGCCTGCCTGTCTGTTTAAAGGATTTCTTGGTTGTCCTTCAGCCAAAAAGAGAAGGCTTCCTAAATGGATTTCTATGATAAATAGTATGGGAGTCCCTGCATTTACACTTACAATCTAAATTTAGGCTGACATAGAAGGAAGAGGGAATGGGAAGAAAAAAGCAAATTTTAACTGAAATAATATTAGCTGTACGTCCGATGGCAATTTTATATATATATTAATTGTATTTTAATTGTTACATATCTTTATTGTATTTTAAATGCTGTAAGCCGCCCAGAGACCTTTGGGTAGTGTAGGCGGCATATAAATTAAATAGATAAATAAATAAAATAAAATAAATGAGAATTGTTCTTCTAAGGACCACCTAAATGGACTCAGTTCAAGGAGCCTCCAGTTACTGGTCTGGTAAGCTGCTGCTAAGTGACAGTTTGTGGGGTAAGGCAGTTGAACCTCCAGAGCTGGTAGAGCTGAATGGTCCAGTTCTCTCTCATCTGCTCCGTAGCTTGTAGGTGTTAGTGCTATTCAGACAGATCTGTGAAGTTTAACAAGTGGATACTGTCCACACAGTGTAACACGTACAGTATATTAATGTGATTTTCTATGTGGCTTTCAAGTACCTCTTTGATGTTGAAAATATGTGTTACTGAACCCACTACTAATTTCTGCCACCAAAGAGCCATTATTCCACAGTAATAGTAGTAGGCATCCTTCAGTCTCGAGAGACTATGGTAACGTGCTCTGAATAGAGGTCTTGGAACAGCGTCTAGTGTGGCTGAGAAGGCCAATTTGAGAGTGACAATCCCTTCCATACTGAAGACAAATACAATCTGTCCCTTGTCCAGCTCCCTGGTTTTGCTAGTTTCGGGACTGCCTCTTTGCCTCAGCCTGCTGAACAAGGGTCTCTTCAAATTGGGAGAGGCCATGATGCACCGCCTGCCTCCAGACTGAACGCTCAGATGTCAAGGTTTCCCATCTGTTGAGGTCCATTCCTAAGGCCTTCAGATCCCGCTTGCAGATATCCTTGTCTCACAGCTGTGGTCTCCCCCTGGGACGCTTTCCCTGCACTAATTCTCCGTACAGAATATATTCTGGAATCCGACCGTCAGCCAGATGAGAGGGAAAATGTGGGACAACAAACAGCAGAGAGGAGCTTGGGTGGAAAGCTGCCTGAGGCCCAAGCTAGTGTATGCCATGGTATTTAAGAATTCTTCTTGGGAGCCATCTTACCAACTCTCCTTTTTAAATTGAGTGTTTATAACACAAGAAAAATCAGATGATATGTGTATCATCTCAAATGTTCCACAGCGTGAAATAAAATGATTAAGGAAAAATGACTTTCACATTAATCTTCATTTTTGCTAACATAATTACTGCTTTTGTTCTCCAGTGACTCATGGCACTATACTTCACTGGCAGTTATGGTCCTGGTTGCCTGAACTGATGCACAAGCGAGTCACAGCTTTCTGGCCAGGGGAAGAAGAAAGGTGGGAAGTATTTGCAACTGTCAGTGATTAAAACTGAGTCCTCTGGTTGCAAAGGACAGGCAGTGCTCTTCAAAAGCCAGATGAGATGCAGCTTGTAGCAGTTACACAACTTAAAACAAAAACCTCTTTTATATTCTGCAAGTTCCTCCAGGGAAGGTGTGGTGAGAGGCAGGCGATACTTAAGTCTAACACAAAATAATGCCACTTGTCTGTAATTAGCCTTTAAAAAGCATTAAAGACTGTTCCAAAACACAGAGACAGAAAGCATATAATGTGTCTTACATAGCACTTGAGAGAGTTTCAGGATCGTGCACGGCTGAACAACTTGTGGCCCATCAAGTCAAACAGAAACCTCTCAATGTGGCTAGAGACAATATCTTGCCTCAAGCACACATGCCTGGGACTACCATTCGAGGGGGTTGTCAAACATCTAGCAGACCATAATAAGTGTCTGCTGGGGGTCTATAGTTGACTTAATGAGTAACATATTGTGGACACCTGGTACTCTGCTCATGTTGTGTATACATAGCAAGTAGGAGTAATGCTGTAGCTGAAGTAAGAAGCCCTCGGTTCAAGTGTCCATCTCAGCCATAAACTTAGTGGTAGCATTAAATGAACCGATACTGATGAATGGGGAGGTGCAGTGGTGCCTCCAAAGTCTACATGGCATTCATGAGGAGCTGCAGAGGCTTAGTTAGACCTTTGACTGAGATTTGCTCTGAGCTGCTCTTAAATTATATATATTTTTCCTTGTGTTCAGTAAGACCTGGGTCTGGGAGCCATCACTATTTTAATTATCTCACAGCGCCTTGGAGTGGTGCCACACCAGGGCCACTGTGGGAAATTTAAATGGCAATGACTTTTAGACCTAGCGAGTCATTGGCCTTTGGCACACATTTGCTGCTTTGCTATCACAAAGTAAGCCCAAAAGTAGATGAAGCTTTGGCCTGGAGGAGGGAGCTGTGACCAATGGACCCCCCTCAGACCTGGAGCCAGCCCTGACTATGGTGATACGTGGACGGGTGAAGACTGCTACATGAAGTGCTTTCAACAGCTGAAATGTGATATGTAAGTATATTACAGTATGACCTGGCAGCAAGGAAGAGCCACCCCCCCCAGGAAGCTGAATCAATAAAACAGTTTTTCCTTTCATCTAGGAAAGGAACAATCAGGGTGAATCCCTTCTATTCATTCTTTAAAGTGCAAAAGAGATTAACTCTTTGTTTCTTTGGGTGTGATCAAACCAGCGGTAATGAGAAAATTAAGTATGTTCTCAAATCTCTCCCATTGTAGCTGATGAGGTCTTAAAATGTTTGCCTGGATTGCACCCTTTGTGACTCAACAGCTTTTTTTGGTTTTGTTTTGTTAGTATTACAGTAACCCCTAGAAGTTTCAGCAGGCATCATCACTGTTCTGCCCTGGCAGGGAGCACTCCATTAGCTGCTCTTGTCCTCTTCATTGAAATGCAGTTTGAGTTGAATGGGGATTATGGGTGGATACAAAAAAGAATGGTCTTCCCTTTGGTGCTACAGCAATTGTTTGATGTTCACACTTTGACACTTCAGCAAATGTTTGGATTAAGTATGGTATTCCTGTTTAACACCCTAGCTGAGGATGTTGTAGGGGGGAGTCATTCTTTAGATGCCGGGCTATTCTTAGTTCTCACCTTGTTAACTTTCAAAAGGGTCGTTCTCTCCTGCAGCAAAGAGAGCCCAGTGGTCTTTAAAGACTAACAGTTATTGTGGAATAAGCTTTCATAAGCTAAAACCCACTTAATTAGAAGCATAACAAGTTCCTTCCATTTACCTAAACACTGTCTGTATATAAATATAAATACATGTCTTCTTCTTTAATAGTAAACCTCTCATCACAAGGCAATGCTGTAAATATCTACTCAGGCCATGGCATTCAGTGGATCTGAACCACTGCTTGGAAGATTTATTTCTTGGTCTATAAAAAACAGAATTCCTCAGCCAGCATGGCTAATGCCGTAGTAATTGGGAGTCCAAAACAGAAATGTTCCTTAACTCCAAGCTCTCCTCTGAACTGAAGATGAATGGAAATTATTCCAAGGAAATGTAAATTCAATTCCAGCCAAAGCTTCTGACCAAGAGTAGTCCAGCTGCAAAAGGCCAAAATCAGTACAGTATTAGGAAAATACTTTTATTAGGTCAATTATTTGCTGAATGGTCAAAATTCTATTGGTAATTTACACTTGTATAAGGGATGTCACATAAGTCTTGGTAGCAAAGCATGCTGGTAGCATTTTCTGGGTCTGAGTCCAGTTGCATAATTGGGTACATGCTGAGAAATGCAAGGAGCACTTTGTTAATGAGCAGCAATTTGCTGCCAAGACTTATGCAATTTCCTTTACACATGTGTAAATCATTAAGAGGATTCTGGCCACAAACAGAGTGTGTGCCATCAAGTTAATTCTCCCTTAAGGTGACCCTCTTGAGGGTAGCAGAGTTACAAAGGGATGAAGTGAACACAGTTCAAAAGCAAACGTGACAATGAGAATGTGATTCAATAGCCAACGATTCATAGATCTATCAAAGAAATGTTTCTTATAGACCTGTGAAACACTGCTGGCAAGTCTCAACCAAGCTAGAAATCCATGAACAGAGGCTACCCTATAAAATCTGTGATACCCTTGATGGAACCTGAAAGAGGGGTTTCATTTCTTCCATCTCATCTCACTGTGGGGGAAGCGGAGGCAAAAGATAAGAGAAGCCACTCTCCCCATTGAATTGCTTTGAATATTCCCAGGTCCAAAATTACAAGGTACTTCCTTCAATGGTTTACACCTCCATAGACTACAGCTTAGTCCTCCAGAAGAGTAGCTATATTCAAAGACCATGAGGTGGATTCACACCTGCACTCTGAAGTGGGGCATCCAGGGCCTCAACTGTACCACCTCAGTGTTTGCAGCCATTCTCAGAGCTGGGCAGTGTGCCATAGCAGGTGTACTTAGATGCTGCAAGAGAATGTATGTGCTGTGACAGAACAGTCCGTGCTTGATGAGAAACAAACGCGATCATCCACAGCTCATGTGCACCTGAAGTACTTACACAGGAGGCTGCTTGTTATATCACTGCAAGATCCATTACAGTGGCCTTGCCTACTTCAAAACATCTTCAGGGACTGCCGGGCTGATAGCATTTTTTGCAAAATACTGTTGGATCTCCGTTCCAACAATTAGGCTTTGGCTATTCTGCTTATGCTTGAATCAAGAGCTAAATTGTCATTTGGCAAATAGGTTGACTAATGGGATTTAAAAAGCAACAACCCAGAGTAACTCCCAAACTTCATATTGTCATATACATTAAGAAGTCCAGAATGACCCTCCCTGAGTACAACCTCACTCCCACCACCACCACCCTTGTAAGTATCTGTTTTTTGGGGAGAAAAGAAGAAGAAGTCAAGAACACAGTGACTTAACCAGGAAACATGTGGCATTTTCTAAGGACATGTGATTCTACTTTGTTACTACATCAGAACGATCCCAGCACACTGAATACAGACATACCACAGAACTACCAGGCATCAAGGCTGATGACTGAAAACTGGTAACGACAGTGCAATAAATCATGCAGAGACACCGTAGCCAGACTCACTTGTGGACAATGACTTCATGCTGACAAGAGCCTTTGATTACTTAACTGTATATCTTCCAGCATCTAATTTTTTTTCTCTTAGGCTACACTAATATGCCTTGACGCACAGTATACTAATCAAATGCAGAAGCAGATTTATTAGAAATTATATCTGGCTATATATAGCTCTTCATCCAGGGCTAACGTTAAAAGCAGTAATAACTTACAACATGTAATTAAATTCCACATAATGCATTCTGTTTTTCCTAAAGAGAGATGCATACTTTAAATTTTTAAAAAGATTTTGAAAAAGAATTTTTTAAAAAATCAGTCTTCTTTTGCAACACCTGGGTAGAATACAACAAGATATTGTAACAAAATTAGTAATCTATAATTAGAGTTATACTACTTTTAATGGGGTACTGTTTGCCATAGTGCCTATAAACTCTGTGCAAGTTCAAAAAGAAAAAGCTCAACATTACTTTAATGAGCTATGGGACATGGGTGGCACTGCGGGTTAAACTGCTGAGCCAGTGGGCCTGTTCATCAGAAGATGAGCAGTTTGCATGATGGGGTGAGCTCCTGTTGCTTGTCCCAGCTTCCGCCAACCTAGCACTTGTAAAGCATGCAAATGCAAGTAGATGAATAGGTACCACGTTGGTGGGAAGGTAACAGCATTCCATGTCTAGTCATGCCAGCCCCGTGACCATGGAAATGTCTATGGACAAATGCTGGCTCTTTGACTTACAAACAGTGACAAGCACCGGCCCCCAGAGTCAGATGAGACTGGCCTTAATTGTCAAGGGGAACCTTTACCTTTACCTACTTTGATGAACTAATGTTTCATGTATTTAATATATGGTGGTACATCAATGGATTTCAGATATGGATTTTAATTTAGAAGGCTTTTACAGTTATTGCATGCTGTTTTCTGTCAATCTAGATTACATATACAAACAATATGTTTTTCCCCAATAAGAGCTCTTGGCTTTATAAAGTAAAGTTTATTAACTCATACATACAAACCTTGAAGGCCTTCGTTCATTCATTCATTTAGTCGTTTAGTCGTGTCCAATTCTTCGTGACCCATGGACCAGAGCACACCAGGCCCTCCTATCTTCCACTGCCTCCCGTAGTTGTGTCAAATTCATGTTGGTAGCTTCAATGACAGTGTCCAACCATCTCATCCTCTGTCATCCCCTTCTCCTCTTGCCCTCACACTTTCCTAACATCAAGGACTTCTCCAAGGAGTCTTCTCTTCTCATGAGATGGCCAAAGTACTGGAGCCTCAGCTTCAGGATCTGTCCTTCCAGTGAGCGCTCAGGGTTGATTTCCTTCAGAATTGATAGGTTTGTTCTCCTTGCAGTCCAGGGGACTCTCAAGAGCCTCCTCCAGCACCACAATTCAAAGGCATCAATTCATCGGCGGTCTGCTTTCTTTATGGTCCAGCTCTCACTTCCATACATCACCAAAGGAAAAACCATAATTTTGACTATTCGGACTTTTATTGGCAAGGTGATGTCTCTGCTTTTTAAGATGCTGTCTAGGTTTGTCATCGCTTTCCTCCCAAGAAGCAGGCGTCTTTTAATTCCGTGGCTGCTGTCTCCATCTGCAGTGATCATGGA